CGTCACTCCTCAGTTTCCTTGGCACCCCTCGGCTGGTATGCGCAGATCCACGCCCGCTCAGCCTTGCTGATGCCAAATTTCTCGCAAATTTCTTTCTCGTTCTTCTTGTTCGCCATTCTCATTTTCATGTACCAGTGCTTCGTTGGCTTCGGAATGTTAGCCTCTTTCCAGTCGTACTTCACGCACTTCGGTATGACCTTCTCCCCTTTGTTGCTCAATCTTGTTCTGCATCTCTTGCAGTACTTGATTTTTCCTCTCCACTTCTGTGCGTTGACCAGGTTCATGAAGACCGGCTCGTGCCCCAGATCTTTACCCCTCTGGATCGCCTTCAACATTGCCCTTTGCCTCGCCTTGATTCTTGTTCCGGAGGCCTCGTCCTTCTTTTTATACTCCTGCTTGTGTTTCTTTCTGGCATAGTGATAGGCCTGTGTCAGGCTTACCCCTGGCTTACATTCCTTCAAGTGTTTTTTCTTTGTCATTTCCATCACGTATCTATGGGCTTTGCCTATGCATCCTTTTTCACAGTATGGGCAGACCCACGATGCATCTTCCTTTTCCTTCTTTGTCATCTTTTTCATCTGCAAAGGCAAGAAAAGGCTTCTAATGCCCAGGCCCGATTTCTTTCCTGTAGCTCCTGCCTCCGCTTGTTTCTTCATGATCTCTTGCCTTTCATCTTTGTGTGCCACTCCTAGGTGGTTTTGTACTCGCCAGCTTAGCTTCTGCCGGGTGTCCGCCTTGGTTTGGAACCCGCATAGCTGACATGTCCAATCAAGCTTTATTTCCTTCTTCCTGTCCTTGCCTTCCTTCTTCTTGTCTCCTGTGTCTTCCTCGATCCATTTCTTCCGGCTGCTTGTTGGCTCATCCTTCTTCCTCTTGCTGCCCGTGGTACTTTTGTGAGGCTTGAGCCATGACCATAGGTCATCTTTGGCTTTGCCCTCTTTTGATTCTGATCCTTCTGTCTTGTTGCTTCTGCTTGAGCAGCTTGCCGGTTTCAGCCAGCTGTCCAGTTCGTCTTCCTTCCTGGTCTTCCTTTCCGGAGTCGCGTATTTGTCCTCCTTACCTCCTGCTCTTCCAAAAATCCATCCTCTTTGTGTCCATGCTTCCTGTTCTTCCTCTTCTCCTTCGATCCATTGTCGGTCGTATCCATTCCTTGGTTTGGATAGTGCATAGTAGTGACCTTGGTTCCTCACCAGAGGCACTATAGGCGCTTTCTTGCTCGTTGCTCTGCATAGCCATGATCTTTTCCATTCCTCATTCTTCTTTTCCCACACTATCACGTGGCTGTTTTGGACCTCCATCAAAGCGCCCAGACCGAGGCCACAAATGTATCTCTTCGGTCTCTGCATCACCTCGATGAACTCCTTCAGAGTGTTGGCTGGTTGTCCATCTTCCGTATTTTCATTGGCGTATTTTTCTTCGCTTTCCTTTGTCCATTCCTGTTGCCAGCTAGTATTCGTAGTGATCAGGTGGTGAATGGCTCTTGTCCTAATAGACGTCGCCAGTACCTCAATCTTGTCTCTGATCTCGTCCATTGATTTTCGCGGGATCATCAGGAACCAGGGTTCTTAGGTGGTGAGAAATGGATTTGGTGAATCCACAGAATTTCCATCACTGTCAGCTTCCGCTTTTGGTTTGGAGGGGTTTCCCCAACCTCCACAAAAGCCGGGCTTCGAGCCGGAACTCCAAACCAACTACTAGTAGCCACAGATCCAAACCACCAACTAAGGGAGTTGCCCTTGAAATACTGATTCAAACAAAGCCGGCGGATGGGAAAACGCCCTCAGGAGGTCGGCCCTTGGTCTAAGTAAATGACGCTTCACTTATCTGGGCTGCCCGTTTTCCGATCCCCCGCTAAAAGTCTAACTTTTAGCAGGTAAATGGAAACTACCACTAAACACTACAAGGCTAAAAAAGCTAAGGGACCGGATGGCTCAAGTTATATATGGTGTGTTTGGGGCCTCAAAGGCTCAACCCAGGGAGTATGTACATAGATACCAAAACCCTTCAAGCTGGGGTCATTATTTTGACTGTTTCTGGGGGCTATCAAAGTCAGAACAAGCGATTGTGTTCATCCAAATTGGCAGTTTCCCCTTGAGTATCCTTTTTAAACCGATTCACAACACGCCCATATACAAGCCATGGTACAGCTTACTGGTTTCCCAAGAGGAGATGAGTAATTTGGGTCCCCATGAACCATCCGGACGTTTTGACAGAACCTGCTGGGATGCCCTAGGACACCCATTGGCTGGTTCAGTTTGGGGTCATTTTCAACCCACCGATCTAACCAGCAAGACATGCGGTCCGACCGAGCACCTCAAGTCCTCACCCCAAGTTTGTCTCACAGGAATCGATCTCCGTTTGGTTTCCCTTTGAAACCACTCCAAAAGGGAGATCTCCAAAACACACAAACCCACTCATAAGCAATAGTCTACCTTAGTCTTCATGGACAAACTTGAGAATTCCCTGGTTTTTGTGGCTGACATTCAGAGGGTCGTCCCTGTCTTAACCAAAACAGCCTAGGTATTTGGGAGTATTCGCAGGTCCTTGCAAAGCTCCCCTTGAGCTCTTTGTCATTCAATCTGCGCGAGTTTCAGTCGTTCATTCCTTTTTGGACTTTGGCTTTGCAATTTACAATTGCATGATCCCTGGCAAGGAGTATGGCAACACATCAAGCAGCAAGGGAATGCAACTAGCTCACGAGTACCCTTGGAAGTACTCCGGAAAAGCACATGAACATCAAGGACAACCAGTCACACCCCTTTTGCTAGCCAATGAGCAAGCCAACAAAGAGATTTCTCGATGTCCGGTGCGGGCCTGAATCGAATCCCCGCTTGTTCCACAGTTCCCTCGCCTCTGAGGGGCTCCCATTCGTCCGCGGCAGACAAAAGCAGAAGGGGTAGGAGCCTGAAGATCATGGCTAAGGCTGTTCCCAGCGGCACGGGGCTCGCGAAAGAAGCTAAGCTGCAAGCCATAGAAACGTGTGACGAGAGAGCGCAAAAATCGAAAGCAGGGTCTAACATCGCTCCAAAAGAAGACTCACTTTCAGTTGGCCCCAATGCTGCTGTTTAATCCCCGCAAAAAAGAACATATAAGAGGACCCCTGTGAATAGTACACATGGTTGGGATGTTTGTAGGTCCGGGAATTAATACCAAGAAAGCCTGTCGAACATACTTAGGCAACCGCCGTCTTGGCTTGAATCCCAGGTTTGACCAATCCACAAAACGAGGTCCACCGGATCGCATGCGATCCTTGTAAAGGACTGCCCTCGGATATCTGCGGATTGCATGTCTTTCACCCTGGTGACAAGGTTCAACGTCCACGGCTCTCCAACCGGTCTGGGCCACGCCGAGATCAAAGGAAGTTGGAAAGATAAACATTCCTAGGTCCTCCAGTGGAGAGGTTAGAATAAGGGTACCAACCTTTTCTGTAGTCTATTTTAGTAGGGGAATCCTCCCGACCAAAAAAGGGTAAAAGAGCACTACTGGGAGACCTGGATTCACACACTTGCCCAGTTCGAACCTGGAAATGAAAAACTGATCGCCTTTTTGAACTTCTTGGTGTGCGGAGCCCATCAGCGATTTTTTCCCCCATGGGTCCACTCCTGTGTCACTCCCCAAAGTTTCGCTGGACAACCCGAACAGCCCACGTCAAATCCCAGAGCTCAAGCCTTGGACGGACATCGACTGCGTTTTCCCAGCATTTGGCCAATCCAAAACAACCACTGAATGAAGCCTCTGGCAAAGGTTCTGGGCAGAACCTGTCATCTCCCTCGGACACAAATTTGCCCGGAAGCTGGCCCAGCCTTCGAGCCAAGGGCTCCTGGCGCCGTGGCTCAAAACGAATGTGAGCCATGGTGGACATGGGGAAACTCTGTGAGTTCTTTCGCCCCCTGGCTTGTTGGCTGCTGAAATCTTGGTAAGTCTTAGTCCCCCCCTCCCGGGCTGCCCCTCCCAAATTAAACATATATCAGTATAGACTCTAGTATAGACGTGTTTGATCCAAGCTCATGTCGATCTCGGCTTTTCTGGGAAGACCCCCGACGGGTGTGTGATCAATGTTTCTGCAGCGCAGTAGATCCGCAGGTACTCTGACACATGGATTGAGGAAAACCCGCAGAATTGGGCAAGACTGGACAAGGCATATTCACACGAAACAATGGTTGGAGACATTCAGTCACCTAGTTGCTCATGAGCACCTACCTCAAAGGGCCCACCCGCGCCCCCATACAAGACGGAAAAACCTTGCCCCCGCTTGCAAGACAATGATAGGAACTCAAGTCTCCAAGTTCATCAAGTGTGGCAAGGCTCCAAATATGAGACATAGGAATGAGCGTCTTGCATTGTAATATGCAAGTTTATATGACAATGCAAGTGGCTGATTTGTTTCAAGGGACACACCTTCAGCGACTCCTCTGAAAGTCAACAATCATCTGGCCAGCCGTGACCAGCCGTGACCAACCCTAAACATGCTGAGAAGGAATGCACAGGGGGGGGGAAGGCCAACTCAGTTGCAGCTCAAGATTGGATTGGCCAAGAACATTTTCCCCTCGCTTCGCCATGCTTCGCTGGCCGCTTTCTGTTTTGCTCCAAGTCAGTCGAATTCGTTAAAACGATTCACCGCATGGGAACGATCTCAGCCTCTCAGCCCATAGCGATGCCCTGAATAATCTTGGCGCCCATGTATTTGCCTGCCATGGGGCAAAGGAAGGAACGTCGGTCTCTTTTTTCCCTTGGCCCAGCGAGAGCGTAAGGTCAGGATTTTCTGACGGTTTCTGGTGATCAAAGTCAATTATTGTGCTTTTTGTTTCTCCCCTTAAAAAGGTTCCACATTTAGGGGGACTCTAGCTGGAGGAATGAGGCTGGCAAGCTGTGGTGAAATCCATGGAACCCAACACCACACCCTCAAACTTGGAATCCACCAGTCCCCTGGACCGGGCGGGAGCCTCATTTCGTGGTTGGTCTTTGGGGGTCAAAGGCCCTCACTTGGGCGTGGGTCAACTCTAAACCATCAGGGCACCGCAGGTTGTAGTCCAAGTTTCCATTTGCCAGGGTTCCATTCTCTCTCCCGCGCCATCGGAATCCGGGTACATATATTTTTGACCAGCCGACATTTGTTTGGGGACTTGGGCTCCTGGGTGCATATGTTTGACCCACAGCCACTTCTTTGGGGACCTGGGCTTCTTTGCCGAGCGTCGCAAGATCATCAGGTTGTAATTGGTCACGTCGTGCACGGACTCGAAGCAGGCACTGGCTCCGATCCACCAAGTCTTGCGCTGGCCTTGCATCTCCAAAAGGTCCCACACCTTGCCTGGGTGCGGTAACGACCCCCCTGCAAAAAGTGGTTCACCTTTTTGGGGGGTGAGTCTTTTCAAAAAGTTCAAGTCTAAAAATCCGTTGCCCAATAGCAGTCAAGGGTAGAATGGGCCAAGCCCAAAGCCAGGGAACTGAAAACGGCGAAGGCGGCCATGGCAAAAAAATATCGATCCCTGACTAAGCTTCACCTACCTGAATTCTGACTGTGACTCAACCGCCGCAAGAGCTATCTCGCAGGGAGGAAGAACTGGCCTGTTTGCCCGGGAATGGCGCTTGGAAACTTCAACATGCGAGTTTACCCCAAACAAAGGGGGGGGGGGGGCGCGGGGGGTTGTGGCGAAAACCTGAGGAGTGGCCAGCACCAAGTTTTCGCTTACTTCCCCCAATTTGCTCAGGTTCTTCCCTCGGTTGCTTTCTGCTCCACTGCTAAAAAAGTTTAACTTCTAGCAGTTTAATGGAGAACCCATTAGTTGGCAAAATGTGAAAGTCCTAACATCCAAACAAAATTTCAAAATGCACCATCGCCCGCCTTCTTGAACTGCTTCCTGTGGGAAGTGATGGAAGTACGGCCAGGGGTACTGACCTCAGTTGCTTTCTGCTCCCCTGCTAAAAGTTAACTTTTAGTGGTTTAATACGGAAAACCCACTAGTTGGCAAAAAGTTAAAGTCCAAACATCCCTTGGCAAACTGCACCGAAGCGGCGCAAGGTGTTCACGCCGCTCACATTTTGCCGCTCCAACTCGCCCCTGAACTGCCGCAGCGCCCGCTCCGAGGACTCCATGGCGCCGCCCTCGTTGGGCGTGCGGTCGCTGTTGCACATCATATCTCCGCCCTGGCAATAGTTCCTCAGCACGCTCCGCGCACGCGTCAAGCGACAAAGCGCACGTCAAGCGACCCGAGGAAACCCAGCCAAGTGAGCAAACATCGGGCATGTTGTTTTTTCGCGCGGCGTCAAGCCCCAAAAGCAGTGCCGGACCAAAAGAAACCCATGGGAAAAATCGGCCGGCTGCGGACCAAGTTTCTCATAGAACTGATACCCCACCCGCGTCTGACGGCCAGGGATCGGCTGCCCGAAAATCAAGTCATCCCAGCGGTCAGCGTACCAGGAACCATCGTGACTTGGCCCAGACATCTTGTCTGCTTCGTACATGATCGGTCGCCTCGCTGAGTCAGTGTAGTCCAGAACTGGCTCACTTGAATACAGCGTGGTAGCCAGGACGAAACTTTTCAGGCTTGAGAAAATGCTTTCTTCTTGAATGGCCACATCCTTCACAAAGTTCTTGGCATGCGCATGAGGGGCGCTGTAAATCAGAAAGTCGTACTCCTCTTCGATCACCTCGTTCTTGCCCTTCTGGCGGTACTTGATTCTTACAGGCGCAGAGGGATCATCCAGCTGCCGGTCGATGCCCTGGTCCAAAATCTCGACCCCATAGCGGACATCCAAGCCGTCCTTCTCCGCAATGGTGGTCCAAATCTTTTGGTATCCTGGCACAACTGCATTCTGGCTTTACATCTGAACCTGTAAGCTGGTTGGCGCGCAGTCGCTTAAACAAAAATGCGCCAGGCCTGAAAAGAGATGCACAGGGCGGCCTCAGCCGCGGCTGTGTGTCCGTTGTTTTCCACCTGCCCCTGGTGGTTTTCTTTTTTCAAGGGAAATGTACATGACTGGCAACGGTGTCATTTATCAGCGGTGCCTGTTTGCCAGGGGAACTCGCAAGGAACACCACATCTTCGAGAGACAAAGCTTATCTTTGGTGGCCATGCCCTCACAGAACTCCTGGTAGCTCCTTCTCTCCCTCTCAAAAGAACAACTTTGGATATCCCCAGCTCCGCAACGGCCCTTCCGATTCCCGTCAGCAAACTCACTTCCTGAGTGGACTGGCAACCAAAAAGCCTCTTTCGATTTAGCGCCAAACCCCAACAGCTACATGCTAAGCTCAAGAAACGAGAACGATTGAAAATACAGGGTCCTCAATCCTAATCCATAATCTCTATAGGGAAACCACTAGAAAAGGGATTTAAAGGTGCTTAGAGTCTGCCAGTCTCTCTCGTCCTTCGGGCAGCATGGTGGTGGTCCTCTTCACCACATCGGCGGCGCCTCCGACGATGGCGGTCACTACGGCACGCACCCAGGTGCCCCGAATTTGCTGGAAGAACTCGCTCTTGGGGTCGTAGAATTTCTCCAACTCCTGCCGAAAAAGGTGCGTTTTTGAGGGAAGGCACATGGAGAACCACGAATTTTGCGGGGTCCCCAATTCCGCCACGAACCCGAAAAGGGAAGACAAACAGCCCTGCCCTCCCCTTGGTTCTTCTGTCAAAGGCAAATCAGGGGACTCCTGATGGTATAGGTATTGTTTCCCTCTGCTCGTCTGTTCCTGGTTGCTGCTCAAACTTGCCGAAAGAAGAATGAGCACTTCGGTCTGCGCGTGGGATCGCCCTGGTCTCACTCATACAATCTCCGCATGCAAATGACAGCTATGAATATGGAGTGGGGCAATCAAAGGGCTCGCAGAAATCACCGATGCCGCTGGCGCAAGCAGCAAACACACGGGAAGGAAGGATGAAAGAAGACACTATATCTCCTGCAGAACGAAAAACGGCGGCCGACACATAAGACAAGTTGCAACATATAAGATAAAGGGGCACTCTTTGCCGCCGAAATCAATCTGATTGCAGGCTGGAGTGCATGCAGCGCTGGCAACAGTAGCGTCTTCCATCTTCCAGGGCCGACGCCGATTCGACATAATTGTCGTTGTCTTGGCGGCTGCACGACATAGGAGCACAAACGTCAGAGCGTGCGTCCCCGCGCAGGAGGAAGCTGCAATGTGCACAGCGCGCCGCTGGCTGGGCAAGTCAGCTGGGACATCCGGGTCGTCGGATTCGCTTTCTGAGGCAGGATCCCAACTCCGGCGCTGGCACCTCAAGAGCTCGTTGCTCTTTGGTTGCGGGGCATCGGGGAAGAGACACAGGCTGCGGGGAGCAGAGTCTGTCTGTGGGCGGCAGGCAGCAAGCTGAGCTGGCAAGCAGCAGACGAGCAACCATAGGCTGTCTAACAATTGCAGGTCGGCTTGCACCAAAAGAGGCACGAACGCGGATACTAGCACTGGCCCCCGTCGCAAGTTTTCTGACGATAACAGGCAACACCACCCTGGATACAAAGACACAAAGGATCAGTTGGTTCATGTTCCAAAATGGCGACCAGGTCCCTTTTAGGACCCGCTTCTGCTTGGGAAATTCGCCCACGGACGGAAAAAACTTCTCACTGCGCGCTCCTCCCGGAAGCTCATCTGCATGTAGCCGTTCAAAAGCTCCGGGGTGATCCACCAAAGCCCGTAGAAGGCTGGGATGGTGGTCACATAGCCGTAGCCTGACTCATTGGTCAGGGAGATGGAGGAAACCCTGGAACCCAGCCCCGCCCAAAAAAAAGAGAAACCACCCGGGGAAAAAAAACAGAAAAACAAAGGAGAATAGCACGAAAGGGCCATTTCTCATGTGGACAGGGAACCCCAAGTGCAGTTGATCCACACGGGAAGTGTTTTGTTTTGGTATTTTTGGGCGCAACTTGCACATTCGAGGGCGATGCTGCATCCCAAGCTTACTCAAGCACTTCTCATTCCCAAATGTAGGTAATGGATAAGCAAATGGACGTGAAACCTGCAATCCAGTTTTGGGGCAACCAAAATATGGAGTCCATGCAGATCTAAAGGGCAGTGATCCATGAAATATGGTCTTATCTTGGCTGAGGCCGCCCAGGAAAGGAAACCACTTAATTATTTTCGTGTCGTAACGGACAATCACCGGCAACGAATTTGGGGTGCTGGGCTTTGACCTATGGCGAAGCATACTGCAACTTGTCTCTAAACGTGCGCTTCACGGGTTTGTTGGCCTGGCCACGGCACATGTTTGCATCCTGTACATAATTTCCGTAGAAGCCAAGTGCGCTGAGCAGCTTGTGCAAACAACCTAGCCACACAGCTTTTCCAGAGTCCAAGACCACCAACTTTGCTCAAAGCAGCCTTGGGCGGCATGCGCAAACATCAAGAAGCCGCTCAAGGCGTACAGGTCGTTGGATTGCAGGAATTCCAAGAAGGTCATGTTGATCCTGGCCGTATCTAGGCTACAACGAGGTGCGTTGTCGCCTTCACCAATCATGCAACACAAGTGAAGTGAAATGAATCAGTCAACGTCACCAACCATAAACAAGGGCTTCGAAAAATACTATCTAGAAAACGGTTTGGATGTGGATGTTTCTGGGATCCACCCCTGTAGGATATTAAAAGAGTACTAAACAAGCACTAAAAAGAACCAACAGGGGAAGACCAGGGGAAATCCGCAGAAACCGTTTCCAACCTGCTTCCTAGAGACTAGCATCAACTAAATTTTGCTTAAGAAAGGTGCTTGCCCTGAGGCTACCCCATTTCTTGGTGGGGAGATCTCGGTGACGCAAACTTTGCACCGTGATCATGCAATCCCTACACGTGGATGTGGGGACTGCATGGCGGACACCATTTAGGTGGGGATTCATGTCCAACCGCTTTGCGTGGTGCCCGATTCAATGAGATTCAACGCCATGCCAACCGTGAATGATCCGACTGAACTGGAGCAGCTTGGATTGGAATGCCACATGGTCAGACACGGCCAGTCGCAAAACCAGAGCCCGTTTGGATGGTTTGAAAGGGGTCCCCGCCACTTCGCAAGGGTGCGCACCCACCAATCCAAGCCATCTATCCATCCATCCACCCATCATTCCAGACACGTACAAACACCCAGCAAGCCAGCCAGAGAGCCAGCAACGGAACAAAACACTGCCAACCAAAAACCAAGCAAGCAAACAAACGAAAACAAACCAACCGAAACCGAAACCAAGCCAAACCGAATCAACCCAGCCCCCCAAACCAACCAAATCAAAAGCAAACCATCAACACAGCAAACAAACCAAAGAAAGAACACAACTTGGCTAAACAAACATGCGAACGACCAAGCAGCCAAGCAAGCAAACAAACAAACAGAAACACAAACAGCACACACACACACAAACAACAACAAACTTGAAAGACGTACATATATGGTAGAAACCACAAACCCTAATGCATGTCTGTCTGTGCATGTGTATCTCTGCCTACCCATTTACCTTTCCTACTTACCGATGTTCGAGCACCTATCTGCGCATCTATTTCTCCACCTTTGAGCTGGGAAGGTGTTATTATCTCCTAACCATTTGTCCATATGCTATCTTTGGGCCTATGCGTCGGTCTCTCTCTCTCTCTCTCTCTCTCTCTCCGCCCTCGCTCTCTCCTCTATGTATTTACCAGCCGTTCTACTTATCAGTCTCTGCAGCTTTCTATCTGATCTATCTTCCTGCTGCGCTCCCTAGCTTCCCTTCCTTTCCTCTTTTCTTTGTTTCTCTCCTTCTTGCCTTCTACAACGACTCTAATATCATGGAAAGTCCTGTCCCCAATCAGGCGGCCAATCGCATCCAGCACAGCCAGAAGAGAGACACCAGCCGTGCATTTGACTTGCAACCACTCCTTGCTGCGATGCAGCCACTGAAGTCGCCACAGCTGGGTTTCCAAAGGTGTGAGGAAGAAAGCTTCCCTGCGCGCATCTCACATCAAAAGCCATGACATCATGTCTAATCAGTATTGCGTTGCAATGCTGTGGTTGCAGCGAGCCAGAAAGAGCGGTCACTGGCAACATCGCTGGAAATCCCAGCGTGCTGCCATCCAACGCAGCGCAACCCAATTCCAGAATTATTTGGCCCAGTTCTTGCATAATGCCAGCCATGAGCCACCGCATCGGCGTGAGCAGAATCGCAAATCACACCCTTAACCATAGATTGGTCCAGCCTCAGAATGTGACCAAATAAAAACCAAACCATCCGGAAAAGCAAGGAAGACCAGAGCTCGCCGTACACCCGCAGCCAAACCTTCGTTGGGGCTCCGCATTGATTGCTGGAAGTGTGCGCTAATGTCTTTGGCACTGCGGGTGGTGCCTAGGAGCTTGCCAAGATGTCAGCCAGGGCAGACAGTGCAGCTTATCTGGGCGTGATGTTTTCTTTGGTCGACTTCCAGGATTCTATGGTTGGCACTCTTTTGCACGAAGCCACCCGGGCTTTTATGTCCAATCAGCCCATTCTGGTTTGCCCTTGTGACCAACAGCATTCGGTGGGTTTGAAGGAAGAGAGGGAGGAAGGAAGGAAGGAAGGAAGGAAGGAAGGAAGGAAGGAAGGAAGGAAGGAAGGAAGGAAGGAAGGAAGGAAGGAAGGGCAGAGAGCAAGGAAAAAAACGAAGGAACGATGGAAAGAAGCACAGCTAGAAAGAAAGCAAGCACACACCAAAGCAAGCTCCTCCGCTGAGAACGCTATGTCTTTGATTTCTATATTTCTTCCCCTGTCTTTACTTACTGTCTTGAATTATGCTCTTTCGTGTTTTACGCTTGCTGTTTATTTCTTTCTGTTCTTTCCTTAATTATGTTTCTTTCTTCCGTTCTTCTTTTTTGCCCTTCTCTCTCTTTCTCTTTCTGTCTTCCGTTCTTGCTTCCCTCCCCGTCCCTTCCTTTTATATGCTCCCTTCTTTCTCTCTTTCTTTCCTTCTTCCAGTCTGTCTGTTAGTCCGTCGTTCTGTCTATAACTGCTTGTCTGGCAACGCCTGTCAGCCTACCCATCATCTTACTCATCACTCTCTCACGCAATCTAAGCTCGGCTCATCTCACCGAACCTCACCTTTCCGTCTTCCATCGGTCAGTCTATCTATGCACCTGCCTGCCGGCGCTATCTACGTGTCTTGCTGACTGTCTATCGGCTTGTCTACGTGTTGCAGTGTTCTATCTATCCGTACAACTGCTGAACTATCCTGAAATGCACATCACAATGGAAAGGCGAGACAGACGTGCAACCTTCCAAGACACTGCGCCTGCGCAGCAGAACGACATGCAACGTCGCAAAAGCTACAATTCACGCCCGCGCAGGCGCAACGTGCGTGCCACTTGTGAACGCTTGCGACGCCGCGGCTGCTTCCGGATGTGGCGACGCGTCCGGCGATCACACACTGACCCCCGGCCCCCCCTTCCTACAGCGGGAACCCATCTGCTACGCAGTCAGGGGTTCATGCACATATACACACCCTCTCGTGCCAAAAGGTGGCAACTCTCTCGGCTATGCAGCTCATGGCGCCTTTGCAGCGTCTCTCTGCTCAGCCTGTGAGGCATAGAGAACTCCACTTCGCCGAAGATCTCCTGATTTGGCGCTGGGTCGCGGTACATATCTGACTCGTTGGTTAGTGGGCCGGTGGGCTGTGAATTGGTTGGAGGTTGGTTGGTGCGGCTGGATTCCTTTAAGCAGAAAACACGAGCTCAACAGGGGTGACGAGGAAACTCTCATGGGGACTGTTTCCACAAAACATGCGCCACATCACAGCTCTCTGATTCTGGTTGTTCAGCAGCACCATGTAAATCCCTTGTTGTTTGGTGTTTTCTCTGCTCAACCCCAACCAGAACTGCTTCCCTTTTTCCACCTTTCGGGTCGCACATCAAAATCTAAGGCAGCAACCCCAGCTTCTAAGAGGATGCCTTCCACTACACCCCCACCCACAACCCCCCGGCAAACACAGGATAATATATATATATATATGTATCCTTTATGCAGTGGCACGCTCTGGTTGAAGTTTATCTGTGTAAAAATGGAGGGTTCGGCGCAGTGTCCATGGGGAGGGATATCTGCTTGCGCGTGTCTGGGTGAGGTCGGTGTGTTTGCGGGCATGGTTGTCCAAGCAAAACATAGACGAACCCAAACAAAAAGACGAGATGCCCCAAATTATGACCCACTCATTTACACCCGCTCATCGAACGCCAAAGGCAAGCAACAACTAAGATTGCGTTGGCTGACCCTATGTGACCTTCGAACAAATGGGTTCTACAGAATGGGTGGTAGGTGTAGGTGTCAGCTGAAATTCGGGAGGGGAACGGCAGCCCAAGCATATAAGTTGTGCTTCCTCTGGTGCCGGCCATGCAGCTCTCCCAAAGAAGCCAACGCACAACATCATGTTGACAATCATCCCAAACCAAGTGTGAATGACACTTTTGGGCACTTTGCGCCGTGGACACTCCCTTACTTAAATCTGAAAGAATCCTTGTGCAGCGTGTTGTACTTCTTCACTGCTCGCAGCAGCGCAACCATCACCTTCAACTTGCTTCCGATCTGAGCCGGCGTGGGGATTTGGGACCTCACGGGTCCCCGGAGGATTTGCAGGCCCCACTCAGAAAGCATGCTAAAGAATTGGCAACCTGACCACACGGGCCCGCCCTTGCAAATCAAACAATGCCTGAATGAACCACATTTCACGTTTCATGGGCGGGTTTTGAGTGGCCTCAGTCGTCCAATTGGTCAATCAAGCATGGCATGGAAGCATCTCATCCCGTGCCTGTACAGGTTGCGCAAATGAGGCGATGCTGTGGATGGACGAAACCCATTTCGCACCACTTTGACCCCGGAATGTTGAATTCCCTGTCAAATACCCATGAACATTGGTTTCCCATGGTTTCCCAAGTGGTGCGAAAAAGGATGCGATCGTGCGCAGCTTATATCCTCTCTCTAGCTTAGTTCATTTATATAACCCTTTTCAACCCCACAACCGATGCCAAACTTCAAGCGAGTATACTGCCTACACAAATCCACCCCAACCACCAACCCCAAACAACACCCACCCACCCCCCCCCCCCCCCCCCCCCCCCCCCCCCCCCCCCCCCCCCACAGTATGGTGTATGAAGTCAAGAAGTGCGCTGGGATTGCTCAGGCCAGGTTGATGGATCCCAAGCCCAGCACTTTGCTTCAGAGTCGTCACTGGACCGTGGGGCTCGTCAAATCTGCGTATGTGGCCAATGGTCATGGCTCCCTTAGGAATCGTTGTGCATATTCTGAAGGATCCTTATACCGCTTATACCACCCATCCCTGCTACCCCAAGTAGAGGTGGCTCTTGTCCATGGCTCAGATGGACATGGCTGAACGATCACGTCACTAAAACGCAACGCGCAAACACCACAAACAAACAACACGCATATGAGCCAGCGGTCAGTCCGGAATGGGCAAGTACGGTACAAT